GGAACAGACGTAAAAAATCTAGGATTGCATACACAGGAGAGGATAACATATAGAAACATACGTATAACATCAAGGATTCGTGCTCCAGGTGAGGCCCCTTATATAGGAGCATACGTAAAACACATGGGATTGGAGCCACTCCTGCCTTCTGAGGCCGCTTGCTCCTGGGGCCTCTCGGGGCCTCCAGTTGCCTGGGCCTCCTGGCGCTTCCTGTGGCCTCCTGGGGCCTCCTGTGGCTTCCTGAGGCCGCCTGGAGCTTCCTGGGGCCTCCTGGAGCCTCTTGGGACATCCTGTGGCCTCTTGAATCTTCCTGTGGCCTCCTGATGCCTCCTGGGACCTCATGTGGCCTCCTGGGGCCTCCTGGAGCCTGCTGGAGCCTCCTGTGGCATCCTGGGGAGAATATGTGCCCACGAGTCTGGCCACAAAAACAGGCAAACCGATCGAGACATCCTCAAAATCTGGCCCCCCTGGGGGGCGAAAATGAGCGCCTCGCTCCAAACATCCTCCAAATCTGATCCGAAAGCGGAGGATGTTGAGGACCAAAACAGGCAAACCGCCAGAGACATCCCCGCCATTTGGGCGCGAACGGAGGCCGGCAATACCCCTGGCGGCCCCCCCTGAGGAGGCGCTTCGCACGAGACATCCTCAAAATCTGCTCCGAAAAAGGAAGATGTTGAGGACCAAAACAGGCAAACCGCCTGAGACATCCCCGCCATTTGGGCGCGAACAGAGGCCGTGCAATACCCCTGGCGGCCCCCCCTTAGGAGTGCTAAAACCAGCAAACCGTTCGAGACATCCTCATCATCTGCTCATCGTCATCATCATCATCATCATCATCATCATCATCATCATCATCATCATCATCATCATCATCATCATCATCATCATCATCATCATCATCATCATCATCATCATCATCATCATCATCATCATCATCATCATCATCATCATCATCATCATCATCATGATCATCATCATCATCAGCAGCAGCATCATCATCATCAGCATCATCATCCTCCTCCTCATCATCATCAGCAGCATCATCATCATCATCATCAGCATCATCATCATCAGCATTATCAGCATCATCATCATCATCATCATCATCGCCATCATCATCGTAATCATAATCAGAATCATAATCATAATCATAATCACCATCATCCATCATTCACCATCACCATCATACTCACATCATGCTCTCACCATACCGTGGTCATCATCATGACAATCATCAGCAACATCATCATCATCATCATCATCATCATCATCATGATTGTCTAGTGCAGAGAGGGAGGAGGGGAGGGGTTGTCCGGCGCGGTCGGAGAATAACAAGAACCCCATCCTTTGGATATGGGGAATAGCAAGAACCCCGTCCTGTGGATATCGGGAATAACAAGAACCCCATCCTTTGGATATGGGGAATAGCAAGATACCCATCCTCTGGATATGGGGAATAACAAGAACGCCATCCTTTGAATATGGGGAATAACAAGATACCCATCCTTTGGATATGGGGAATAACAAGAACCCCATCCTTTGGATATGGGAAAGAACCATCATACTCATCCATCATCCACCATCACCATCAGACTCACATCATACTCCCACCACAATCATCGTCATTGTCTAGTGCAGAGAGGGAGAAGGGAGGGGAGGAAGGTCCGCGCGGTCACAGTAATAACAAGAACTACATGCTTTGGGTATGGGGAAGAATATATAATTAAAAAGTGCAGGATGTTATCCATCAACCGTACCCGAGGCTTTCATCGAATTCGCGGGCACCACAAGTCTGGACCCTTTCCCGGGGGCAGCCAGTCGCCCTGGAGCCATTGCTGGTGGCCCCGCGCCACGATGACGGACCCCCGATACCGAGGCGCAAGACAGACCTGCGACGAAAGAATACTCGACGAGGAAATCCCCAGATGTGCATATCCTACTCCTGTCACCTCTCGCTCAGGAACAGTGTGATTGAGCCTCTGGGTGTGAGAGCGAGTCCGCGCAGACGACGGGCGCGACGCCGGCGACAGCGACGACTTCAGTGGACGTCCCCCTCCTCTTCTGGACATTTCTCAAGAGGGACGAAGGAAGCACGGGTAAAAAGCGAGGGAACATTGAAGAATCAAACATAGGAGACGATGGATGGATCTGAGCGTGAGTAATCTGCGTGTGAATGACTCTGAGTGTGAGTGAGCCCAGGACTGGTTGGGTTCGAGCATGAGTGAGTGTAGGTACGCGACAGTCAGGAGTACGGGGGGGCTGAGTACGAGTGAGTCTTAGTAGGAGTGAGTCTGAGTGTGAGTGGGTCTGAATGAGAGCAAGTCTGAGTGTGAGTGGGCCTGTGTATGAGTGAGTATGAGACTACGAGTGAGTCTGAGTATGGGTGAACCTGAGGGTGGGCGAGTCTGAGTGTGAGTGAGTCTCGGTGGGTTAGTCCGAGTGTGCATGAGTCTGAGTGTGAGTATGATGACTATGCGTCGGAGTATGAGTGAGTCTGAGTACGGGTGAATTTGCGGATGGGTGAGTCTGACGGCTGGCGAATCTAAACGAAAGTAAATGTGGGAGTTAATATGGTGTAGACGAGACTGAGTGCGAGCGAGTGAGTCTAAATACGAGAGCGTCTGGTTATGAATGACACTAAATATTGTTGAATATGACCGTCATGGGTGCGACAACCTGGGCACGAACGGGCCCATGATGTACCCCCTGGCGGCTCCCTTACTGGGTGCCGTAACCACTGCCTCGCCTGAGACATCATCACAACCTGGTCTGAACGCAAGCGAGCCTGGCCACCAAAACAAGCAAACCGCCTGAGACGTCCCCTTAGCCTGGGCACCAGTGGGCTCGTGCCACACACCCTGGCGGCCCCCCCTTTGGGGGTGCTGAAACCAGCACCTCGCCTGAGACATCCTCACAGTCTGCTCCGAAAACAGAAGATACTGGCCGTTGGCCACCAAAGCAACATCCCCGCAATCCGGAAACGAGCGGGCCCGTGTCAGAACCCCCTAGAACCAAGCAAACACCCTGACACATCCCCACAATCTGGGCGCGAACGGGCCAGTCATACCCCCCTAGCGCCCCCCCTTGGGCGTGCTGTAACCAGCGCCTCGCCCGAGATATCCTCCCAAACTGTTCCGACAGCAAAGGATGGTGGGCCTGCAAACAGGCAAACGGCAAACCGCCTGAGGCATCCCCACAATCTGGGCGCGAACGGGCCCGTACGGTACCCCCTCTGGCGCGCCCCCAACCCACCCACCCACACCCCACCCCCTTGGGAGTGCTGAGACCAGCGCCGCGCCTGAGACATCCTCACAATATGCTCCGAAAGCAGAGGGTGACGGGCATGCAAACAGGCAAACCCCATGAAACATTCCCACAATCTGGGCGCGAATCATGGAATGTCCCCACCCATGACGCCCCCTCCCTGGGATGCCCAAATGCTACGCGTGCTATATCGCTGTGAGCAGTGGACCACCAAGGACCACGCATAAGTCTGAGTCTGAGCATGAGGAGTATCGGTGTGATTTACTCAGCGTGTGATAGAATCCGAGAGTGAAAGGCTCGAAGTGAGAGTGAGTGAGTCTGGGTGTGAATGAATCCGAGCGTATCGAGTCTGAGTATGAGTGAGTCTGAATGAGAGTGAGTCTGACTGTGAATGAGTCTGAGTGTGAGTGGGTCAGAGTACCAGCAAGTCCAAGGGTGAGTGAGTTTGAGTGTGAGCGAGTCTGAATATGACTGAGTGTGCATGAGTCTGAGTGTGAGTGGGGCACTGCCATTGGAAAAGAGGAGGAAGAGGAGAAAGTGAAGAGAAGGATGGTATGTTCTCGGAGCCGTCTAAGTAATAACAAAGTCCGTCAGAGGTCTGGGATGGTACATGCCCGGCACCTGGCCTGGCTTGCAGCGTACTGCCATCGTGCTACCACAGGGAACGCCAAACGACGAGATGCTTCTCTGGCCACGGCGAGCCTCGGCCCCGACCAGGCCCCCCGATCTGCAGCCAAGGAACGGCCCGAAAAAAAGACCCTCCTGAGCCCAAAGCGGTCCTTCAGTGTCTTGACGGTATGAGATCTGAACGCGGCGGCGGGCGTCCGGCTGATCCTTGGGCGTCGCTTCATGGGGAGGAAAGAAAGGTGCACTTTTCGGGCCCTACAGGCCCCCTTTGGGGCCCCAAGGGCCCCTTCAGGGACTCTAAAGGGCCCCTTTTCTACAGCCCTCGCTGCCCCCCCCCATTTATCGCCCCCCCATTTCGCGACGCCCAAGTTCTGCGGCCGACCGCGGGCTCTGGCAGACAGCTGGCATGTGGACGTCCGGGAGCCGAGCCCCGCCATCTGACGAAAACCTCCACCGAGCCCCGCGAATTGCTGGGAAAGCTCCGACGGCCCCCGACACTTGAGAAGGAAGCCTCTGCCGACCAGTCCCGCTGGTCCAACTCCCCATCCCCTGAGTATCCGGGCGTTGCAGTGTTTGTTACACCAGGCGCGGTCGCCACTTTTTCGGGCTCCAGGGCCCTCACGGATCGATCCTGTTCTGGTCGTGCTTCTTGTAGATGTTGCAACTTTTCGCCAAGACGGATCCCAGGATCCCTCCTCCTCCTCCTCCTCCTCCTCCTCCTCCTCCTCCTACTCTTCCTCTTCCCCTTCCTCTTCCTCTTCATCCTCCTCTTCCACCTCCACCTCCACATCGTCCTCCTCCTCCTCATCCTCTCCTCCTCCTCCTCCTCCTCCTCCTCATCATCATCATCATCATCATCATCATCATCATCATCATCATCCTCATCCTCATCCTCATCATCATCACACCCTTTCAGGGAGACGATGGGACAAGGCGAAGGGTATAGGGGGATTGTATTAGTGGGTGCACTGGCTGTCCGCAGCTGTATCCAGCCCCTTTGCGACGTCGAAGGCTTGACTCCCTCTGGCCTGCCCGCGGAGCTCCGCCTCAGAAGGGGCAGACCTGCACTACATCCACCGCAGTGGAAACAGTACGATGCGCGACAGCAAAGACTGAAACCACACAAAGCATTAGTACGCACATAATGAATGATCTTAAAACGTGCAAGCAAACCACAAGAATCAACAACGACTGAGATAGCAAGGCGAGGGGAGGGGAAAGAAGCGCCGCGACAAGCAGTCCTGTGCACACGAGCGCGTCTGCTCCCCAGCTTGCGCCTGAGGTCCGCTTGAGAGGAGGGCGCGGAGCCTTCCGCTGACGGCACCTCGATCGTCCTCTCGAGGAGGTCTGGTCGTGACCTGCAGGGGAAGAGCGTGAAACAAACTCCCATCACACGGAACACCCGTAAAACTGTTCTCGACTTGCCCTTTCGAAATATGTTTGTCCGTTTGCTAACGATCGTCCTCTCGCGGTGATCTTGTGTCTTCAGTAACACGCCACGTAAACAGACATCGTATGGTTCTCTGAGAAATGCATTTCTCCTTCAAGCTTCGGACGCACCCCGACTGGACATGAGGGACGAAGATGGCTCCCTGGTGTGGCGTGCTGTTGCTGTGCTCATGAGGAAGCACTTCGGTCTCCCAGTACGCCCTACCACCTGCTTCCCTTCCCCCGTTGAGACTGCGAGTCGTCGACCAAACCCCCAGTGCAAGGCGCCGCCTGTGGCGGAACGCGGGAGACAACAGAGAGAGAGAGAGGGAAAGAGAAATGCTGACAAAAACGACTAGGCCCAAGGCCTCGCGAAAACCAAGGACCTTCCTCATTTGGCATGGCGGTCCTTTGGTTTTCAAACGGTTGCTCTCCGTCATGGTCCAGCATGTCGGCACGCACACCAAATCTGCAGACTAACATGTCGCAACGAGGATGCGTTCTCCTGAGGTAAAATCGAAGTCGCCAATCCGCTGGGCTGCCACATCAGCGCAGCGCCAGAAACACATGCACGGAAAACGCTCTTCTGCTGACGACGGCTGGAAGAGGACAGGATCGGGCAAAGATGACCAGGGGCGGGTCTCGGGGGACGTGTCGGGCGCCAAGGCCGATCCAAAGCGCTCCGACCGCGCCCTGGAGCAACCTTTATCGAAACGTTTTGTTCCTGTGCCTCCCCGACCTCATTCGTGTCAAAACCCGCGACTGTGGAAACGACTGTCCACCACGTTGCAAGCCTGCCCGGTACCCACGCACGCCAGATTTCTGACACGCTGGCTGCGGCTCAGAACTCGAAGGATGCCTGCAGTCGTGCAAAACCCAAGCGGGGTTGCCCGATGCCCCAGCGTCGATGGGACCCGCAGGGGTAGGGTTCGCGACAACTCGTTAGAGCCAGCCACACAATCTCGTTGGCTTTTGCGAATCGACGCCAATCGACGCTAACCGACACAAAATCGGCGCTGTCTCATCAATTACCAAACGCTGGCCCAGGCTAATATACTACAAAGACGGACTTCCGAGGGCACACAAGGCTCCTATGATTTGCTACCGAATGATTGGTCGCGGAGAAGACTGCATGCAGACCTCCCAGCGGCGGACAGCGAGGTCAGAGACACCACCAGGTCGGGTTCGCCGGTGTCGCCGGCGTCGGCTCGAGCACGCTGGTGAGCCAGACGCTGCTCCAGCTCGGTGGCCATGCCGCGGCGGGCCCCCCCGAAGCGGGCGGCCAGGCAGAAAAGATGCCCAGCCTGTCGGAGGGAGCCGGGACCGGTGGAGCCGCTAGTGTACACAGTCGTCTCGGAAGTTACCCGCCGCTGAAAAGTCTGCCACAATGTGGTGAACACACACAAGTGCACCATGGGAGGGCGGCATTCAGATGGAGAACAAAAGGACAACAAGAAATCAGGACACAAGCGAAGAGCACAGGTGATGCACGCATTAACACAGAAGGTGTTTCACGAAATGAAACGTTTGAAGTTACTTTTGAACAAGAATTGCATTGAAAATGCCACATGCATTTTTGAACACTGATTCGATATACTCGTGCGAACCCGCAGAACCCAGCTTACAGGGATTGACAAGGGATGCGAGATGTCTGGCCATGTCTGGCCATCCTCGAGGGATGTGACGCACGGGAGGGCACAGGCTCCTCAACGCGTCTACTGAACCCTCCAAGAAACCTCGAAGCCTGAAGTGGTCCAAGTTGGCTGGAGGGTGGGCCCGAATAACCAGGGATGCCCTGATATGGCCCCCGCGATGGTCCGCCTTGGCCGAGAGAACGACTCCCCACTTCACCCGTGGAGTACCTCAAACAGGGCCCCTGAGGCCGAAATCGAATTCGCCTGCCCAACGGGCCCGAAGCGTGCTAAAATCACCGGTAAGAATTAGTTCACGCGCGCGGCGGACCCTTGGGGCCACCGGACGAAAAGTACCCTGGCAAGGTCCACGAGAGGTCCTGGCAGCTTCGGGACAGAGATGCCAAAACTTCTGGGCGCGGCTCTTGGGGCCCCCAAAGCGCCACAGGAGCGCCCCAAGGAGGCGCCAAATAAATGGCAGGCCCCACGGCCTCAGGCCAAAAGCGTTGCAAGATAGCCCACGATGATCCCCGGACGGCCCAGGAAGCGCGCAAGACGGCCCAGGAGGGCTCCACGAGGACTCAAGGGGGCCCGGAGAAGCAACCAAAAAAATGGTTTTAAGTTGTTTAACAAATTTTGGTGCTACTGCCTCCTCAAGTTTCCGACTGCCCAAGACGGCCAAAGAGGCCTCCTCCAAGGTCGCCCCACCTTAGCCCAAGAAGCTCCCAGGACGGTTCCACAGTTTGAAAGGGGCTGGGAGGCCCAGCCGAAGCCAAGCTCCAGCTCGGTTGTATCGTAGTAACGATAGTCCCAATGCAAGAGGAGATGCCATGTCAAGAAAAAGGGGATGCCTTTTAGTATCAATAGCGATAGTGTGCCTCGCGGTAAGGCGCAATCAAATCTAGGCGGCGAGCCGCATGAGCCAAAACGGCCGCGGGCGCACGCTCGCTCCCGCTCCTTCCGCCCCCCAGCTCGCTTTAGTCGGGGGGGGAGGCAGACGAAGCGCGCGTCCGCCACCCATCTAGCAGGAACAGTTCAGCAGCTAACCTATACAAAGACAGGACATGAGACAGGCCCACAGGAGTTGGACCCGCCAGCAAGTTGCCTCGCACATGTATGACACACTCATCAGGCGGCGTCAGAACTTGATGTCTGGCCGGCCCGATATGGCGCATGTCTCCTCAGGTCATGTTTGAAGGTCTGTATACCTCCCATGACTTGCTGGAGCATCTCTCTGTCAGTGCCCCCCTTGGCGTGTCCATCCGCAGTATGTCGCGGGTATCACACCACCGAATGCTATGCACGACTCCGCGCTCCATCATCTGTCGTAACCAACTTCTGTGTCCTAAAAGGATACACTCAGTCGGCTTCTTCAAGTCTTTGCTTGACAAGGACTTGAAGACAGACTCAGCATCGATGGCCAAGGTGACCTCGATGCTCAAGCCACCCAACTCAAGTATGTCTTAACACTGAGTGGGCGCGAGTGGCCCCGCGTGGAGCTCGCGCAGAGTCAATCGTGGGATAACAGTCCTCCAAATTGTGGGCTGCTGCAAGTGTCTCTGCTGAGTAGCTTGAGCGGACTTGCAAGCGGCGAGACTTGCAGTACGCATCAATCAAGTGAACGACAGACTTGCCAGATGACGTGTTTCCACGTCGTAGCAGGTTTGCCCCGCGAATGCCATAACCTTTGACGTCGTCGTCGGCGTCTCCACTCAGGCGTCGATAGCCTGAGTCGCTACGTAAGTCGACCTCACCCGTGAAGTTCATCGCCTGGTAGACGATCTTCTTCGGGCAGGCCTGTAGCTTTCTGGTGAACGCGTTCAGTCGTCGCCCTTGAATATTGGTCGGTTCTTGGACACGCTGTAGAGATATAACATATACCATAAACCACATCTGGGTGATCAGTGCGTATGCCAGCGCACCTCTGAGGCAGACGAACATATCTGCCACCATCTTGGTCGCATCAGCGTCAGCGTCAGCACCGGTCAATTCAGGATGTTGTATAGGACGGAGCTGATTAATATATTCAGCTTGATCCAAAGTAACATTGCCGTCCTCATCCTTGGTGTACCTCACAGCACAGTTCGTATATGTGTGCTTGTCGAGTTTGCACTGACCAAAGGTATGCTCATCGCATTTGACATACTTGTCAATAGTGTCCTCAGTACCGGCCATGAGAATGTCATCGACAAGCCTGGCCGTGAGCAGGTTGCTGCTCGTCTCGAACTCCTCGTCGTAAGACGTAGGTCGGAGGCCAAATCCTCTGGTGGTTCTCCTCAGCTGAAGTGAGAAAGCCCGTGGGGCGCCCTTAGTGCCTGTGCCCGGTTTCAAGCACTGCAAACAATGCTTTGACTCGTCGTAGTTCTCAAATCCTGGAAGAGTACGGAGCACAGTTGCCGATCCAGGCGGCAAGGTAAAGCACGCCCCACGTTCCTTTTCACCTGCGGCCCCAGCGAGTTGTCGATAGGCCAATCCCTTCAGGAAGGCCCTGTTGATATCCGGGGAAGCAATGATCCACTGCTTCTTGCACGCTGCCGCGCTGGCAAGTGACCCCTGGCTTGCCATTCTGGCTGTTCCCGAAAATGTTTCTACATCGAAAGCTTCAAGGTCCGTGAAGCCTATGATTCGTGAATGTGCTGATCCAGATATATCATGTGTATTCAGAGCAGTACCTTCTGCTTCATAGTAATGGAATCCTGGATTCACGTCGTTATCGTAATGGACCAATGTGCAGCTGTCAGAGGGCGATGGTAGTCAACCAAATCTCCTTCGTCATAACAGTGCTGACCTGTAATTGTCGTCTTAGTGCGTAGAGCACGATTGGTCTTAGCTAATGCCGTGACCTGTGTGATCGCCTCAATACATACCCTGCGTATTGTCTGTTCACGAGATAGATAGGATGTTTCTGTCGGCTGCTCGTGGTCCAGAACAGGAACGTCCGGGAGCATTGCTGGTTGCCGTCCAACTAATGTATTGTATGGAGAAACCTCATTGTAGAAGGTGAATGCGTTGGCGGCGAAAAAGGCTTCGTGCAGTAGTCTAGTGAACACAAGAGGTATGTCTAACCCATTGGGTCCAGCCTCCATTACGTGAAGTAGATGACGTAAGATGCCATTGCTGGCCTCGATCGTCGTAGCGTGCTGTCCACGCGCACGTATTCTTAGTTCAGTGCCTTTTGCCTGGAGGACTGCTTTCACAGTGTCATGATTACGGGCACCTTCCCCATCCGAGTAAAGTACCTGAGCTGGTCAAAACTGCATCCAGCACTGATGGTATGCATCCAGGATGGTAGTTTTACCTGGTATGTCCATCCCAGTTGCATATGGTATACAACGATCGAAATTGTGAAATCGATTGTGTTCTTGCTTGTAGAACATCAAATCACATTCCACTTCATCATTAATTTTGCTAGGTAGTGCAGTAGAGGGCATAACTGTGTGTCCAGGTCTGTCCCAAGCTCTGCATTCACGGCACGGGTCGCAGACACCCTTGATGAGGTTGAGTCTAACACTGTCCAGACCTATTTTGCTTAAGATGAGTCTCATCTTAGGCTCCTTCGCATGGAACCAGCGTAAATGCAACTTTCGCAGCTCGCGCGTTACCACGCTGGGGTCCATGCTTCGCAGATTTTGTAAGCTGATATGTACATCGAAGAGTGGCCAATCTGGTAGTCGTGGTCGTGCGGCAGGATTCCCTGCTGGTTTTGGTGGAGGCGCTTCTCCACCCTGCTGTCGACCCCGTTTGACTCTAACCTGAGGCAGTCGGAGGTGGTCATCCGAGCTACCAGCTCCACTTGAGGCAGGTTGCCCTGCAGCGGGCTCAGCAGCATGTCTTCCAACAGTGATGTCGTGACTGCTTGCACCCGCGGTAGATCCAGCTCTCAAGCCAGGTCTAGGTGCTCTCAGTCGCGTAAGTGCTGACGCTCCTGGTGCCTCAGGTGGCGGCGCTGCTGCTTCGGCAGGATCTGGCGGTGCAGGTCCTGCTGCCGGTCCGACGGGAACCGGCGGGATCAGTCCATGATTGTCCGGAAGCTTCCAAGACTTGGCAAACTTGCATTTGCCAGGTGTTAGTACATGTCCAGGGTTGTTCTTCCCATAGTTCTTCTTACAACTAAAGCACTCCCACTGATAGTCCTCCTTATCGTACCACCTGCAATGTCTCGGATTTCTATCATGAGATGGAGAATGCACGTCGACGTCATCCGCGCAGGCAGGACAGCAAAGCCCTCCTGCCAGTGGTCTCGCAATCGAGCCATCAGGTTGTCGGGGAAAACTCGGGTCGTCCAAATCGCATCCCCTGGAGTTGGTCGCCAACACAGTGAACGCATATGGGTGAAAATGGGAAGGGTCACGAGTTGTCTGGAAGAGATCGTGTGCAATCTGAAAAGATTCAGGAAGCGCGGCTTCCTAGCGTGCGCGTGTAGCCGCACTCCCACGCACGGTTGTCCACGCTCGCCCTAGCGGCTTGCCGGTGCCGGCAGCGTGTCCGGCAGCGTGGCTTCCTAGCGTTTTCCTATCCGCGTGGCTCCAGGGTGCCGTGCCTTTCGATGGCTACGTGCGCGAGCAACGGCCTTGTGATTTCACTTGCTTGCGTACGCAGCCACGCCCGACGGTCTCGGGGCCGCCACGTGTTCTACTGCTCGGTTATCTGGGTTTGGACGCCAACAAGTTCCGG